GGTGGGGGGGGGTGGTTTAAGGTGGTGGGGAGGGGTGCGGGGGGGGGGGGGGGGGGGGGGGGGGGGCGTGAACTATTACCCTATAACTATTGAACTATTATCCAGCTAGTAACAGCATGTAATGTTGGTCTAAAAAGAAAATTTGTGTATTAAGAGAGAGGGCATGTTAATACCAAAAAGAAAGGAAAATATATTATACAAAATAAATTAGTTTCTCAGGAATCATTAAAGTGAGGAATTGCGTGTGATGTCTTTGTAAATCCATATGCACAGTGAAGATTTGATCAATGGGTTTGTGGTTTGTTGTGGGATTTTTTAAAGGTACACAATGCAACTTTAGGTCCTCTAGCAGTTGAGGCATTGAACTTGAAGTTACTCATAGAGGAAAATTGTTTTGGTAATTACGTGAATTGGGTTTCGGCTCAACTGAATGATGATGTCTGTTATTTCTGGTCAGTATGTATTGCACACACACACACACACACACACACACACACAAAAAGTAATTACTGTATATAGAAGAAGGTCTCTAACTCAAATGATCTCATTGATGTGTGTAAACAAAGATAGGAAAACAGTGAGAAAAGCTCTCATGTATTGACTGAAACATGAGGCTTGCTCTCTCAAGAGGTATATTTGAAGGGTCTTTCCTTTCTTGCTGTGCTTAACGTCTATGTCAAGGTTTTCCTCCTTCCTTTCGTTTCAGTTCATTTTCCATTCAAGTAAATAGGAACTATACTTGCATGCCTAGAAAGTCGCTGCCCTGGATCATTGTCACGATAGCTGCCAGGTGAACTGACATGCTACATGATACTGTGCTCTCATCTAGTTCTCAATATTGATGCAGTAATGAGTGGATGTTGTATTAAAGGTGCTGTATGTAAGTTTTTGACTTGAAAATACCATAATATGTTTGCAGATATTTAAGAAATATGCTAAGTTAACATACTTGTATATAGAAGAAGGTCTCTAACTCAAATGATCTCATTGATGTGTGTAAACAAAGATAGGAAAACAGTGAGAAAAGCTCTCATGTATTGACTGAAACATGAGGCTTGCTCTCTCAAGAGGTATATTTGAAGGGTCTTTCCTTTCTTGCTGTGCTTAACGTCTATGTCAAGGTTTTCCTCCTTCCTTTGCTTAAATTGCTATTGAATTTTCCAACAGTCTTATGTGTTGTTTCATCTCAGACGTATTCGCTATTGAGCTGTGATTCCTTAACAAAACAACACATAACCTTCACATTTTGTACCTTCATGAATAAGGCTTGAAACTCTTTTAAAATCATGCTGGACAAAAAAAATGTCGTTTTAGTTTGCATCTACTTTAAATCTTGAATAAAGAAGTGAATAGTATGCATTTTAAAACCCTAATTTGTTTAATTAAAATTGAAATCTTAGAGTAATAAAACAAAGGATGTAATAAAAAAGGCACCATTCATACCTTAAATTAGGCAGGTACTGATCAGGCTCAGCCCTGCTTAGCTTCAGTGGGTAACCAGTCTTGGGCTACAGGGTGATATGGCTGCCGGCGAAGTAATGTTACACCAGTTTGTAACAGAAAGTGCCATCTACCCACCTTAGTGCAGATGCCATTTTTGTAATGTCTTGCACCGTATTTTCTTTTTTAGCTTTTGTCTGATGATAATTATGATGAGGTAACCTTTGCCCCTAGGTCATGACAAAGAAACATCATCTGATCAGTAAATATAAAATGAAAATGTATTTAAAATAGGCTTATGCCGTAGCATCTGCCTGAATATTCATTATTGTTCTTTTGGCAGAAGGAGGAACTTTGTTGTGAATTATGAGTGCAACTGGAAACAAGAACTGGTCTGGAAACATACATGACAGTCTGTCTCCAGTAAATACTGTTCTGGTGGCTTCTGTACACCTTGTGCATTTAGCTTGCAGGAACTTTTAGACTGGATGTGCTTTGTTCCTAAAGCCCAACAGTGCTAAACAGTGTATCTGTGCACTTTGCAACATAATTCTAGAAATGATTCAAAACTGTATCTGCAAGCTTGTGAAGAATGTAAGTAATATTGTAACCTTTTTTAATGCATTAATGCTGATATCAAATGAGTCATAAGTAATGACTGCAAAAATACGTTTTTGCATTTTTACCCTACATAGGACATGTGGTTTGGAGAATGGATGGATGGATGGGTTAGAAATGCAAAATAGCTATAGTACTTTTACAACATGGAACATAGTTATATGATAAAACTATTCATAGTTGTTACATGACCTCATCATTTTGAATTTGGCTAAGATTTGGCTGGTTAACATGGGCATTTGCACCCCTGTTATTAGGCAACTAACTTGGAAAGGAAATCCAACGTTTCAGTTCATTTTCCATTCAAGTAAATAGGAACTATACTTGCATGCCTAGAAAGTCGCTGCCCTGGATCATTGTCACGATAGCTGCCAGGTGAACTGACATGCTACATGATACTGTGCTCTCATCTAGTTCTCAATATTGATGCAGTAATGAGTGGATGTTGTTTTAAAGGTGCTGTATGTAAGTTTTTGACTTGAAAATACCATAATATGTTTGCAGATATTTAAGAAATATGCTAAGTTAACATACTTGTTTATCTGAAAAACAATGCTACAGTCAGTTATTCTCCTTTGAAAATGTGCGTTCTCGGTCTCTGTTTTGGTTCGTGAAACCCGCCCACTGCCAGTTTACCCAATTGTATTTCTGCCCACCGGGGTTGCCAGTTGACGGAAAACATGGCATGTTTCATTCCATTCATCGCTAAATGCGCTCGTTCCTGTTGGTGTCATCAATCTGGCAACCTGCGTGTGCGTCAAGTCTGAGGAGGAGGGGCCGGGTGAAAAAAACCCCTCTCCAATATTTAGAATTTGGACTGCAATACCTAGTTCAACCACTCGGTGTCAATACTACATACAGCACCTTTAATGTTCTTTTTGCCATTTGATGTGTGCAATTTGTCTTATCCTTGCCTGGTCACATAATTGTCACCAATACAATACATGCACACTGAATCAGTTTAATAGCATTTATATAAAAGGTTGAATTCTAAACCAACTAATCTTTCATCATCGGCATCATAGTGTTTGAATTGAATTACACTGACATTATGTCATTGTTAAAATCCTCTAAAGTGTTGGTCTCATGCAACAACTTATTTTTCTATGCAGATGCGTCTAAGAAAGATGTCCCCGAGGACATTGACATTGACATGGACGCCCCTGAAACCGAGAAGGCAGCTGTCGCCATTCAGTCGCAGTTCAGGAAGTTCCAGAAGAAGAAGAATGATGACAAGTCATAGTTGCCAGTGGACTTCTCTGTCCATATGGCCCCATCAGGACAGCATTTGATGTTGCATGTAATAGAATCCATTCTGTGTGGACTCATGGGAGGGGGAAGGGAAAGCAAGGTCGTAATCTGTCAATCACTGATCTGACCTTTATTTTACTGCTGTAACTGTGAATATTAATTTTGGTTCTAGCTTCATTCTCCATTCTAGACAAGAATATCTGTTATACTACTGGTGCATGGTTTTTTTCTTTACCTCAAAGTGCTGGATTGCCGGCCTGTCCTTTATTTGTGAAAGCACAATATATTTTCATTGTGAGCTGCTTATGAAATTGATTTTAGTCAGAAACTGCGAGCATTCCATGTACATAAATATATAGTAGAACTTTTTTTTTTCCCACACCATTAGTCCTCAGATGATAAAATGCTTTAGCATACATTCTCATCCCAGAGGAGTTCTAAAAATAGCTTGTCTTTTGAAACCCATATTGTTGAATAATTCCCAGCTTATCTTCCCAAATCCTCACTGTGCGCTCGGTTCTCTTTATTGATTCATGATGTTGAATTCAATGCTGAATGAAATGACTTGAGAGCGAGTGTTTGATTGTCTAGTTTGCTGTGGCATATCATAACATTTCTGTTGATTTTCTTCCTTTGCAAAGGATCATGGCACAAACAGTAGCCAAATCAAACAATTTCTATCTCAACTCAGTCTGATTGAAACTATTAATAAACATCCTTGAGTCTCTGGAACTAAATACTGCATTGTCTTTTAATTACAACTCTTTAAAAAAAAATCTTAAAGCAGGATCCTATTTTTGAATTAATGGAATAATATGATAAGCAGTCGACATCCATGATGTTTAAAACAAAAGACACATGAAAATTGCAAAGAGCATTTCAGTGTTACCTTAAAATAAAATGATGATGCTCTTAAAGGGATAGTTCACGCAAAAATGAAATTTCACCCTGATGTTCAATTCCAAAGCACAAAAGAAAATATTACGATTTACATAACTATAACATAACATAGTGTTCATGTGGCTCAGTGGTAGAGCATTATGTTAGCAGCTCAAAAGGTTGTGGGTTCAATTCCCAGGGAACACACACACTGGTAAAAATTGTATCGCCTGAATGCACTATAAATCGCTTTGGATAAAAGTGTCTGCTAAAAGCATAAATTATAAGACATTTTTCAAAATGTCTTTTATGTTCCACACAAGAAAGCAAATCTAACACGTTTGGAACAACACAAGGGTGAGTAAATGAGAGGATTGTCATTTACATAATTATTGAACTAGCCATACTAGTCAGTTGTATTTCTTGAAAGTATTTGTGTGATATTTGGGCCATTCTTGGGTAACGGTGCCAAAGTGGCAAATGTACTCTATATCAACATCTGGCGAACTACCTTTTTCAAGACAAATTTTATTCATGTTTTTTATCCATATAACACACATTCATAGCTTCTTTCTAATCTCAGTTCATTTAAAGAATGAATATTATTCCACCAAAAAAGGTCCATAAGACCTGTTTAAAACATCTCAGTCTTTAATTGGCATATTTTATACTGATACCAGAGTCGAAATGGCTGACAGTGCAAGCCATGAACCATCTTCCCTCAGCAAATTCTATATGAAAGCACTTTTAGAAAGAATAGAGCACCTACCCATCGCATCCAGTGAAGGTCACACACTGCACTGAGTGATATATTATTTACACTGAATCGTCTAGTGCATTTGAGCCCAGATCCCGATCTACACACACACACACACACACACACACACAGAGACAGGCAGACACAGAGACATCTGTATTGAGGAGAGCTCCATGAAGAAACACCCTCAGAAAGATTTAAAGGCCCAGCACAAGGAAATAATGCCATCAGTGGAGCTGACAGGAGTGGAAGAGCAAAAAACACATATGGTTGTATGTTCTTCCCTGAGAAGTGTGTCTTGCAATAGTTAAAGCTCTTCTGGATATGGCCCAAGGCTCTCAGTCGATCAAAACACCTGTCTGGGCCCAAGAACATAGTGTAATATTGGAACTAGATTATTGCTGGTGGTGTACTGTATGTTCCATCCAGACATGACAACACCTAAAATATCATCTCACTCCGTTTCTCACAGAAGCAGAAGATAATCAATGGGAGCCTAGGTGATCTCAACTGGTAGGTCGTCTCCCAAAAAATGGGTCACAGGTCTCTTACAGAGTCATAGATACCATGAAATACATTTGTGTTTGTATTTATTTATTTATATGAATCATACCATCTACACTCTAAATAATGCTGGGTTGTTTCAACCCAATGTTGGGTCAAATATGGACTAACCCAACTGTTGGGTTACATTTTGGTTACATTTTTTTAATTAGCTTTTTAACCCAACAGTTGGGTTAGTCCATATTTATCTATCTATCTATCTATCTATCTATCTATCTATCTATCTATCTATCTATCTATCTATCTATCTATCTATCTATCTATCTATCTATCTATCTATCTATCTATTTTCATGAATCATACAAACTTTTTCAACAACAACAGCTCTTTAAGTGGTTTGAACAACCTATTTACTTATTTATTTTCATTAAAATAACTCCTGTAGATGAGAGAGCTTCTTTACCTAGATAAAGTTACTCAGCCTCAGTGAACAGGCACAATACAGGATACGGGACTCTGAATCAGCCTGTCTGCTGAGTGAAACTGAACACACTGCTCCTGCCATGGTCCTTTAACAGGCAATGACAAGTCAAATGCTTATCACTTGTGCAGTAACTGATGGATATGATGCTAACAGCAGGGAAGTCACTTCCTTTGAGCAATAGCTGGAGTTGGATTACATTTCCCTTCATTAGTGAAACAATCATGACTATAGTCAACTGTCTCAAAGATGTGTTTGGCCTTACAAACATAAGGCGTACTGCCAAAAATGTCATTTGTCTTCAAGATAATAATGACCAAAACACATAAGATTACATAAAAAAAAAAAAAAAAAACTCATATACTGTGAAATTTTTAAGTTAGTGATACCATGAGAAAATCTTCAAAATTGCAATGCAATGGTAAGTCATGAACGTATAGTACAGTACTTCAAAAGGCCCACCTGACTCACAACTGTCAGCCATTTTTTCCATTTTTATTTATTTATTTAATCCATGTAATTTGCATTTTTCTATCCCACCATGTGCTGCATGTTGGAATAGCAAAATGCAAATGCACATCTGAGAATCTCAGCCTATGTAATAGTTCATCGCTTACTGTTTAAAAAAATATTGTGTATTTGAACATTCTCCTGAACCGACACTTATTGCATAATATGTAATGCATTAAAATTATGCATATTTTGATGTGGGGAATGTCTTTTTTTTTATTTCTGAAATACAATTTTTATTTTCCAAGAACTAATTTTGGTAATGTAGTTCATCGCTTACTGTTTAAAAAAATATTGTGTATTTGAACATTCTCCTGAACCGACACTTATTGCATAATATGTAATGCATTAAAATTATGCATATTTTGATGTGGGGAATGTCTTTTTTTTATTTCTGAAATACAATTTTTATTTTCCAAGAACTAATTTTGGTAATAAAAAAAGTGTTGTTCTTTTTTGTGAGAGACTCGTTTTGACACTTGTCTCAGAGCAGCACAATTGTCTTGAAAGAAGAAAGCAAACTGGATCTAACCAGCACAGAAAAAGAAGTGCACGGCCAAGGTGCACAACAGCAAGAGAACAAGTACATCAGAATTGTTTGTTTGAGAAACAGACTCTTCTGGTGCTCAGATACATCTGCGTTGTGTGAAGGAAAGACTCTAGAATGCACGAGGTCTGCAAGTGTCATTACTGCACATGGAGGATTCTTTGATGAGCAGAACATTTGAAGAACAACATTTATTAGAAATAGAAATAATTTGTAACATTATACATCTTATATTATTGTCTCATTATACTGTATTTTTTCATCAAGTCATTGCATCATTGGTGAATGAAAGTAACAATATCTTTCAAAACAAAACATTTCATAGTAATCCCAAGATTCTGAATGATAGTATATTGTATGTATATTTCAAAGAATTATTTCTACTATTTAAATTTGTAATATCTCTTTAATAAGGTTTCATAACTGTGCCCCTATTGTCACCCCCCCCCAAAAAAAACATTTAAAAAATCAGGTAATAACAATGTCAGCCTGCATTCTGAATGTCCTCTTTCCATATTTCAATGAGGCCGCACAATCTATAGAAATGTATGTCTTATATTTTAGAATTTTTATTATATGTTCGTTTTCTTAGGCATCGTTTTCCATCCTCCATGCATAAAACCTTTGTTTGTTTTTATCTATATTTTCATTCTACTGGAGTAAAACACCAGTCAGACACCTTCAACCGAACGAAAGAGCTAAGAAAAACTAAACAAAACTAAAACCACTCCATTTATATTAGTGAATTTAATGTAGTTATTGGAGTTGAGTTGGAGGTGTCCAGATAAACATGAGGCCATGAGTTAGACTGCAAATTATTAAACATCTAGAGAGAAAAGTCAATTTTACTGTAGCTGTAAGTTTGACTCATTCATGTTGGTTTGGTTGAGCAACTGTAACATATTGCTTTTCTCATTTGCTGGGAAGTGATTAAAAAAACAATAGTGATTTTATTAAAATAATATTGATGATAATAAAACTATACTGTGGGTGTCTGAATGACTGCATGTTCTGGTTTTCAGCTGATTCAGGAGAAATCCACCAAAACAGAAGAGCTCCTCCTACAGGCAGTAGTCAGAGCTCTTATCATAAACATTTCAATAGACATTGCAGTGCCATCTGTTGGTTATGATCATGGATGGGCGTTCGAGCCTGTAACCTGGTCACAAAACATCTCCTTGACTTCCTGTGTCCTTCTCCCTTTAGGTTTATGTGCATTTATGCACCAGGATGTTTTAGTTATGAGGATATAGGATTCTTATTTCAGTCATTTTACATTACAAGCGTCATGATTTACCATTTTGGTCTTTCTATGTTTAAGGCAAGCATCTAACTGATGTCTAGACTGACATTCGAAAGGCAGGCTTGATGACTGAAGACATAAATGGCAAAAACAAATCAAACATGTTGCATTAGATCTCAGAACACTATTGTGCACTGTAAATGTGTTTTCATCATTCTGTCTGTCTGCTGTCACCATTAGACAATTTTAGACATTTGTCAATTATAGTTTAGAGACTGCGTCATTAGTTTGTCTCTTTATTGTCAATCATCTTCGGGTTTAATTTTCATTATGCATTACTGAATACATTCATATCTGTTAGTACTTCAAGATGTCCAAGAATTACGAAATTATTAGTAAATCCAGTGTCATATTGCTCAATTAAAATATCTTCTCTTTGTTGCGTGTCTTACACAAAACAGGCCACACCATCTACAAACAGGTGAATCAGATACCATTCATTCAAGGAGCTGCTGGAGAAAACCTTCCATGGTTCTCTCGTTGTGTCACACATGCTCTGCATTTCATCAGATGAATCTATCATTACGCAGACACAAAAAGCTCCATAAGTGGAAAAAAACGACAAGAGAACCCAAGAGTTGAAATTTTCTAATCAAACCAGATGTGTGCAAACATGACTAAGGACTTTATTTACCAAATATTTTTTCCCTGTATTATCCACAAATAACAGTGATCTCTTTATGTGTATGTATGTATGTATGTATGTATGCATGTATGTGTATATATATATATATATATATATATATATATAATGTCATAACATATATTATAACATTATATAATCCCTTAGTGTGACTAAAATCTCTTGGAATTCTTTTTTTTTTTCAGGTCCCCATGCAGTCCTTAGAAAGCACAACATTCTGAGACGATTGGAAAATGTGGACGCGTGTCTTCCACGTTGGAGTCGTTGTCCTTCCTCCATGTCTTCTGCGGTCGTCAGATACACCGCCATGATAAACAGCTTCAAAAATGTCGATCGCACCTCATCGTTTCATCAAAACAATAGAGTCATGGATAGAGAAAGAAACATCTTCCTGCAGAGCTGACCACACCCTACTTTTTTTAAACCATTTTTTGATAATTTTTCTCTATTTTTATATAATAATGACTATAGAATTATCCTTGATATAAATTCAAAAGTAGTTCCTCTGTCAATTTAAATAAATAATTTTGGCAATCTTCATAACGGTGGTATTTAAAATAAATGAATGATTACGTAAAAAAATCTAACTTAGTCAGAATAGATGGCAAGAGAAGAAGGTGAGCGAAAGAAAGAAAGTGTAAAAAAAAACAGCAGAGAGAGTGAGACAGATAGAAAGAAAGACAGATGCAAAGAAAACTATCCACTTTTTTAGGAATTCAGAATGTATGTACAGGACTCATCTCTGAATCAGAAAAGCGCTCGTCTTTGCAGCAGGTCCTCACGTGTTTGTGTGTGCGTGACAGTGGAACGTGGTCCATAGCTGTAGTCCTGTGTTATACAAGTGTGTAGGACTTTGCGTAGGGGTTGTTGCTTTGTTTCAGGTGTCCTCTGGAGTCTAGCAGCGACTCCTGGGAGCTGCTGAGTTTGGCGGCCTGGGCCAGGTCGCCCGGCTCGCGTTGTGGCAGTGTAGAGGAAGTTCCTGGCTGCCACTGTTGTACTGCCTCTCTGCTGGGGGGGCCGGAGGAAGAGAGGGCTGACGAGGGGGTCTCGGAGGGTGTTGGCGCCAGCAATGCTGGCCGCTTCGCCATTCGGCTCTTCTGTGGGTCCATACAAGTCTGTCCTGTGGCCTCTCGACCTGAAGGGGCTGCTCCCCGGTTCAAAAGGAAGTCCATGCGCAGGTAAGGGGGAAGATGGACCAGTTCACCTCCTACGAGACAGACAGGGTCATGTAAGTGTGAGCACTGCTCAAAGATCAGATTTGCTTTCCACAATATCCACAATGAACTTCCAGGTCCAAGCTCTATAAGCTGGTCAGCACAGGACATGGCAGGAGAGTTTTAGGATAGGATAAGGTAGGGTAGGATAGGTTTATGACACAATATGGTAGGGTAGGATAGGAAAGGATAAAATACGTTATGATAGAAAAGGTCAGGTTTAGCATAGGATATGATAGGACAGAACAGGATAGGTTAGGTTTATGAAATAGATAGGCAAGGATAAAATACATTTAGAAAACGTATTTTAGAGCACTTTCGAATTCTATCCTAAAGTTCAGGTAAGATATCAAAACCAGCATTAAACTACATCTCAAGCTCTCACCGAGTATTGGCCAATTTTATTCCTATACTGTTAAGCATCCTGTTCATGTTCTTATGATTGTGTATTACACCTAAAGTCTATTATACCCTTCTATATAAAGTTTGAAATGTACATATGATACAATATACATTATAAAACGGATAGTTCCGGTCCTTGATTCTGATTGGTTGAGGCACGTTCAAAGCTGTTGAAAATTACACTACAAACACACACCTTTGTTTAGCTCTGTGTGTTGCTCGGCAACCACTTTGTTGGAACCACAACTGTTTCTGAGGAACTACATTGTTTGGTGGAAGAATACGGTTTATTTATATCATTACACTTTATTTGCTCTGTTTTATTTTGTGAAACCTTACTACGTATATGGAATAACCGTTTTATAAAAGCAATAAGCCCCGTGAAGCCGCTTCGCGTTGTGCCTAACAACGCCCCTTAGCCGTTGTAAATTCACTGTAAACCACGGCTTCTTGAGGCTTATTGCTTTAATTTGGACCTTTAACTGAAAATGTCCACTCTACTGAAGAAAATTTTAACACTGCAATTGGCAACAAAATATCAAACAAATGGTTCAGCAAAAATTAGATTTTTAATCTGTATAAAAAATAACGGGTAATTATGAGTTAAATTTAGTCATTTAAATGTGTTTAATAGGCTCTATAAAACCCAGCGATAAAAGGTCAGCCACTTTATTAAATAGAGACTGAAGTTTTCTTTTCTAAACCTAATTATAAATGTGTCTCTTTAAAAATCAACTGCTGCGACTGCTTAATTAAACTGTTCAACTGATTGTTCATGAGCTCTGTTCCAAACCCTAGTGAGCTGCCTCACTGCCTACTAGGGTTATGCATTCATACAAATTGTTGTAATAGACTAATCATCTAGTTGTCTAAATAAATAGTTGGGATTTTAAATCATGGATAAAGATGTCAAATTTACCTCACACATACAAAACATTGCTCGATCAGACAAGAATGAATGCAACCTCACTTTCTCTCTCAATGGATTTGTTTGTTTTCATTCTATTCTGAGTATCTGGGTGATTAAATGAGTGGAGTGCAGTATTACATAAAGCTCTTTCCAATAAGGCCAGTACTTGAAGTTCATATCACATTTAACAGCTCTATTGTGATAGCAAACTGCTGTTTTGTAAAGACAGACGATACCTCCCCAGCACAGGATGCAGATCTCCCATATTTGCCCTTACAGAACAGTGCCAGGTGCTCTCACTAACCAAAGGCTCCCTGTCTGAGGACATAGTGCCTAGATTCATTCACAATGAGACAGTAACTCTAAACTCTAACCAGTAACTCAAGAACTGTCTGGGGCCGAAATCAGCCCTGGGTGGCCCAGACGCAGGACACATTAAGCACATTGACGTGAAAAGAACGTGGCAGTGTGTTTGGACAACAGCCTTCAAACCTGTACCCATCAACAAAGGGACTGATAGCACACTGCAAGAGTGACAGCTGACTGGTGAACAGGTAAACTGAGGAATGTGTGGAAAATACACACATACACTACTGGTCAAAATTTGGGAATATTTATTGTTTAAGATTTCTTTTTTGGCATTTTTGCCTTTATTATGATAGGATAATAGCTAGACATGAATTAAAGTAGGAGAGAGAGAGAGGGACGCGATCGGGAAAGGTCTCTTATGATCAACAAGGCTCATTTATTTGATGCAAAATGCAGCAAAAACAGTAATATTGTAAAATATTATTTACATTTAAAATAGTTCTTTTCTATTTGAATTCATCTCAGAATTTAAGTTTATTCCTGTGATGGCAAAGCCGAATTAAGTCTTTCATTGTCTTCAGGAATAATTCTAATATGCTGATTTGGTGCTGTTTTTGCTGCTTAATATTTTTGTGGAAGCCATGCTACATTTTTTCTACATTCTATGAAGCATAGAGAGTTCAAAAGAATACATTTTTTTTAGTCTTTACTATCACTTTTGTTCAATTCAATGCATCCATGCTAAATAAAATGTAACATTTCTAAAATGTATTTTCTACTTTTTAATTCTTACTTACAGGTGCATCTCAATAAATTAGAATGTTGTGGAAAAGTTCATTTATTTCAGTAATTCAACTCACATTGTGAAACTCGTGTATTAAATAAATTCAATGCACACAGACTGAAGTAGTTTAAGTCTTTTGTTCTTTTAATTGTGATGATTTTGGCTCACATTTAACAAAAACCCACCAATTCACTATCTCAACAAATTAGAATACTTCATAAGTCCAATACAAAAAAATTTTTTAGTGAATTGTTGGCCTTCTGGAAAGTATGTTCATTTACTGTACATGTACTCAATACTTGGTAGGGGCTCCTTTTGCTTTAATTACTGCCTCAATTCGGCGAGGCATGGAGGTGATCAGTTTGTGGCACTGCTGAGGTGGTATGGAAGCCCAGCCTTCAGCTCATCTGCAGTTTTTGGTTTTGGTTTTCTCATGTTCCTCTTGACAATGCCCCTTAGATTCTCTATGGGGTTCAGGTCTGGTGAGTTTCCTGTACAGTCAAGCACACCAACACCATGGTTATTTAACCAACTTTTGGTGCTTTTGGCAGTGACCTGTACATCAAATGGTAGTTTATCACAATTTCCACAACAAATTTAAGCAGCAAAAACTGTTTTGAACATTGATAATAATAAGAAATGTTTCTTAAGCACAAAAAGAGCATATTAGAAAGATTTCTGGATCATGCGGCACTGAGGAGTGGTTGCTGAAAATTACATTTTAAAATGTATTTAAATAGAAATGTTTATTTTAAATTGTAATAATTTTGGCAAAATTTTTCATAAAACTGGCGAGCTTTGGATTTCTTTAGAAAACATCTTAATTATTCCAAACTTATGACCGGTAGTGTACATAAACATTTACAGAACCTGCAACGGTCATCACAAAGTAAATTCTAATGTGAAAAAACAAACGAACAGTGCATAAATTAATATTCACACAACGCATATTTCCATAATCCATCCTCTTCAAGCACCTGGCTCCTTTCTGATATGTACCGCTTATTTTTAACAATTCAGTCAATTCCTGATTCAATTCCTAAAATTCCTCCCTATGTTCTCTCTTTTTTGAAAATCCAATTATCAAAGAAAAAGACTTCAGCGGTGTGTGCTCATAGGGAATGTTTAAAACATGTAGAGATTCAATGATAATTAAACTCCGCCATACAAAAAGTGGAAATGACTTGCGTTCCCATCATAATTATATTAATTTATAGATAAAGTAGTGTTCAAGAAGGTCATTTCACATCATTTACTAATAAATGGGATTGGTGTATGTGTGTTTTGAATCCGGACACTGGTGTTGCTGTTCTAAAGATGCCTACACACCAGAGAACTCTTACTGAGCTTCATTTTGATATAGCAGTGTCAGTTTGAAATCAAGTGGGAATACAGTAAATTGGTTTCCCGAAAGCACAACTGGAGACTAGTCATCTGATACATGCCCATGTTTGTAGCCACGTCTTACCGGGTCTGTGTGCTTTCGGCACGGCCATGGTCATGACCCGGGTGGCATCTTGTGGTTTGGGTGGGGAGGCGGTGAATCTGCAGATGCCTGATTCTGACGGCGTGCTGGACGTCAGGCTGTCTGTGTAGTCATTGGTGCCGGCTGTCATCTGTTCGGAGGATGTGTCTGAGATGAAGCATTCTGTGATCGTGAACTTAGCATGTCGCAGCTGTTCCTCCATCTTAGCATGTTCGTAGGCACGGGCTAACTCCTCGTACGTGGAGGAGGCGCTTTCTGTAGACACCATACTGCTGCGAGCACGGTCTGTAAGAGAGAATGCACACCTCTTGGGTTACATGGGATGTTACTGCAACTCCTATTAAAGGAGTTATGTCTTCTTCTTTTTTTCATTTTGTGAAATGAGCAACACAGTTTAATTAAACATTTGAGAGTTTTCTGCTGGGTCCAAATATAGTTGGTGCAGGAATTTTATTAAACATAAACATCAGTCACTCATATGTAATACTAAACTTTTTCACCCCTAAGACATTTGTTCATCTTTGAAACACACTGTCACGGCGCGGTCAGGAAAGACACACCGTGTGAACGAGGGTTTGGGTCCAAATGCAGGCTTTATTTACACTGCTGGGGAAAACAAAGTAAAAACAGAAAACAAACAGAGCTGAGACTCTGAGACACAGGCTGAGAACAGATACAGGAATCTGACGCAATGCGGCCACCTCTGGCTGCGTCAGTCACCGAAACAAACATTAATCATCCGCCCCGAGTGGCGTGGGGAAGGCGCCTAAATAGTCCTCATGACGGGCCACAGCTGTGAGAGAGTGAGTGTGTGCACAGGTGTGTGGAGTGCAGGTGATGGAGTCCCGGATGGGCGACAGCTGTGTGTGTGTGTGTGAGTGGGTGCCCAGGTGTGTGGTGTCAAGGTGACGGAGAAAGAGTCCGGGAGGATGGGAGATGGCGACCTCTGGTGGTGAGAGGGAGAACACCAGACGCCAGCCCCTGACAGGCACATGAAGATATTTTTAATATTCTCTCATAATTTTTGTCCATTCATTTAAAGCCTACGCAACCAAAACTTTCACACATTAAAAAGTACAAAAAACACGCTGTTTTCGTTCCTGTATCTTTAAATGCAAATGAGCTGCTGCTCCCTGCCCATTTTTCCAGAATAGGGCTGTGCCTTTACAGCTTGTACCTCAGATACTCTGCCAAAAAAACCCATCTGTTTGGTTTTGATTATCATGTCTATTGCGCTGAAATCATGCATTTTAAAGCCATATCAGTTTAAACTTCGGTTATGTCTGTGAGGTAAACAGCTGGGAAAGAAAACGCATGTTTATATTAGATCTGTGCATTAATGTTACTGCTGTCTACACTGTTAATATGACCCAAACAATAAATAAAAACAAAACATCCCTCACTGCTCTTGACCGAATAACTTCTATAGCTATAATAAGAAGACATTTCGGTTATACTTTACTTGAAGGGGTGTGCATAAGACTGACATGACACCTTCATAATCATGACATGACACATGTCATGAATATGAAGGAGGTTTTATGCATGTTTATGACAACTGTCATTAAGTGTAATTCATTCAGTTATGTAATTTTTAATGCAAAGATGACATTGTTTGAGATGTCTTTGTAATGGGCTATGGTTAGGGGTAAGGGTAGGGTTAGGTTAGGGTTAGATCAAATAATGTCATATTTGCGTTACAAATGACATAACTGAGCGAATGACACTTAATGACAGTTGTCATAAACATGCATAAAACCTCCTTCATATTCATGACATGTGTCATGTCATGATTATGAAGGTGTCATGTCAGTCTTATGCACACCCCTTCAAGTAAAGTGTTACCGACATTTCTAACTTGAATGCTGCTTTCAAATGCTCTAGCGTGAAGAAGTTAAACATGGCAGATTGTGTGCGGCTCACTCAAGGCGGGGTCTCTGCTAATATGGCAGTGTCAGTCAGTGTTCGTGGGCAGGGCCTGAGCAGTATGACGTCACAATGCTCAGAGAATCAAAACGGCATGTCTAATGAGACTGATTTGGATTCACGGGGATTAAAAAGTAGAGTGGGTGGATTTTTATCATTGTAGAGTGGTTGTGTTCACACACTGCCAACAAACATTTATGTCCAAACACCATGTAAAAGTGGATTTTTATAATAGGTGCCCTTTAAAGGGGTCATTGGATTCTACATACACTTTTACAAGTTGTTTGAACTGAAATGTGTGTTGGCAGTGTGTGTACACAACCACCCTATAATGATAAAAATTCACCCAGTGTTTTTATTTAACCTCGTTTAATCATTTCCCCATTCTCAAATCAAGCCGTTCTCAGATGCCTGTCTGTGTGACGTCCCCAGGCCCCTCCCAAAATTGTTTGATTGACAGTAGCGTTTCAGCACAGACTGGACTGGTGTCTTACCTTAGACCCGCCCTGAGTGAGCTGTCATCAGTCCGCCATTGTTTCACCGCCGGAGCAGATATACACAAGAATGTCTCCTAAGCTATTGAGGAGGTGTTTTGCTGTTGGATGTAATAATGAACTGAACATAGCAGTCGTCCTTTACTCCTGACATCTGAGCCGCTGCAGACACAGTGAATTACGTTTGTTTTTGAAGGGAATGCACCCCCGATCTGCCTAAATGCGTTTATGTTCGCGCAAATCATTCGTGATCCAGCTTCACCTCCAGAAGAAGTGAGTATACGTTTTTTTTAAATGAATCTTTGCAAATCGCAAATCCTAATAATGTGCTAATTAGCAAGTTTCACAATGAATGCAGCTAAAGTAAACAGTCCCTCAGAGAACGTCTCGGAAGAGAGGGGCGGGGTAAGCAGAGCTCATTTGCATTTAAAGGAAAATGCTACAAAACGGCTTGAACTGAAAAGAGCTGTTTTTGACAGGGTAAAAAAGGTGTTTTTTACACTACCATTGAGAAATTTTAACCAAACTATGTTACAGACTTTTCATTAAGACCCTAAAGAATCATATCAACTTGTGGAAAATGGGGATTTGATGACCCCTTTAATATATTTAATTTAGGGTTTTAGTCACATATATAAACACTACACATACATAGATCACATCAAATTTGGTAAATAGAACACCAAGTGTGCTTTCACACAAGCACGTTTGATGAGGTTCGTTTTCAATGGATGCACAAAAATGATGAGAGAATATTAAAATGTAATTTTTGCTCAAAAGGTGAAAGTAAGTCTTATGTGTTTGGAACAACATGAGTGTGAGTAAATGACAGAATTTTCATTTTTGGGTGAACTATATGTTGTTCTGGTATTCAGAAATAACAGCATATCTCCTAATTTACCATTATTACTTCACTATGACCAAGGTGCTGAATACTGAATAGGCGTTAACATGCACATTTGGATGGTCATTTGTTATTGTAATCTGTATGCCTTTAGAAAGTCACAGGTTTTGGAACAAAACTATACTCTTTTTGGACTGGGGTGGGAATGTTGAAATCTGAAAGTATGTTTACATATAATATCTTACTATTACAAAAGATCAAGGATTTTTTTATTCGTGATTGATTTCTTTAACTGAAAGAACTAGCTGTTACCTGTGTCCTGAGAGGGACTGACACTGTAACTGTCACTCTCTTTGTCCACTGAGCCCGTGGCGCGGGGTGTGGGCAGCCTCCAGTCAGTAGTGAGAGTGTGTGAGGAGACAGGAGGGTGCGGTCGGTTCAGGGTCCACTGGCTGGCATACCGACTGCGTGTGGCGGGACCTGCTTTAGCTGTGCGGCGGGCAGTGGGGTCTGAGGGAACACAGATATACAATACACGTTAATATGGCACTAAGTGACCAGTGTAAAGTGAACCAAATCTCTGCCCTCCCTTATGAAAAATTATCTACCTTTTCCAGAGTAACTGATGAGCGCCGCCATGATGGATTCTAAATGCTGTCGTGTTCCAGTGTTGTGCCCAATTTCGACCCCCTGCCAAATTATTACCCCCTCGTCACTACCTGATTGCCTAATCCTAACCCCTACCCCACACCTACTCCCAATACTAGGGGGGTAATAATCTGTCAGGGGTCAGAATTGGGCACAACACCAGTCTCCACAGAAATCCATGTTAAAACAGATCGACTGAATTAATTAAACGGAAAATTTTCAGTGTAACTAAATATTAAAATATGCGCAGGTTGGCTGCTAACTTAAGGAATTCTTGTAAAATACTTGTTTTGCGCATGGCTGAGTTAAAATACTTTGTGTAAAATAATAAAATAATGCATGCTCTTATCATTTTGTGGACAAAATAATCTGAACTTCGCGGTAAGCAGAGCTCATTTGCATTTAAAGGAAAATGCTACAAAACGGCTTGAACTGAAAAGAGCTGTTTTTGACAGGGTAAAAAAGGTGTTTTTTACACTACCATTGAGAAATTTTAACCAAACTATGTTACAGACTTTTCATTAAGACCCTAAAGAATCATATCAACTTGTGGAAAATGGGGATTTGATGACCCCTTTAATATATTTAATTTAGGGTTTTAGTCACATATATAAACACTACACATACATAGATCACATCAAATTTGGTAAATAGAACACCAAGTGTGCTTTCACACAAGCACGTTTGATGAGGTTCGTTTTCAATGGATGCACAAAAATGATGAGAGAATATTAAAATGTAATTTTTGCTCAAAAGGTGAAAGTAAGTCTTATGTGTTTGGAACAACATGAGTGTGAGTAAATGACAGAATTTTCATTTTTGGGTGAACTATATGTTGTTCTGGTATTCAGAAATAACAGCATATCTCCTAATTTACCATTATTACTTCACTATGACCAAGGTGCTGAATACTGAATAGGCGTTAACATGCACATTTGGATGGTCATTTGTTATTGTAATCTGTATGCCTTTAGAAAGTCACAGGTTTTGGAACAAAACTATACTCTTTTTGGACTGGGGTGGGAATGTTGAAATCTGAAAGTATGTTTACATATAATATCTTACTATTACAAAAGATCAAGGATTTTTTTATTCGTGATTGATTTCTTTAACTGAAAGAACTAGCTGTTACCTGTGTCCTGAGAGGGACTGACACTGTAACTGTCACTCTCTTTGTCCACTGAGCCCGTGGCGCGGGGTGTGGGCAGCCTCCAGTCAGTAGTGAGAGTGTGTGAGGAGACAGGAGGGTGCGGTCGGTTCAGGGTCCACTGGCTGGCATACCGACTGCGTGTGGCGGGACCTGCTTTAGCTGTGCGGCGGGCAGTGGGGTCTGAGGGAACACAGATATACAATACACGTTAATATGGCACTAAGTGACCAGTGTAAAGTGAACCAAATCTCTGCCCTCCCTTATGAAAAATTATCTACCTTTTCCAGAGTAACTGATGAGCGCCGCCATGATGGATTCTAAATGCTGTCGTGTTCCAGTGTTGTGCCCAATTTCGACCCCCTGCCAAATTATTACCCCCTCGTCACTACCTGATTGCCTAATCCTAACCCCTACCCCACACCTACTCCCAATACTAGGGGGGTAATAATCTGTCAGGGGTCAGAATTGGGCACAACACCAGTCTCCACAGAAATCCATGTTAAAACAGATCGACTGAATTAATTAAACGGAAAATTTTCAGTGTAACTAAATATTAAAATATGCGCAGGTTGGCTGCTAACTTAAGGAATTCTTGTAAAATACTTGTTTTGCGCATGGCTGAGTTAAAATACTTTGTGTAAAATAATAAAATAATGCATGCTCTTATCATTTTGTGGACAAAATAATCTGAACTTCGCCCTGATCGGGAGCTGTATGTAGGATATGTGCGCTCTTGTTTTCAATGCAGTTAACTTCGGGCCGCTTCATGTCATCTACCCACTGTGACAGGTGAGTTACTGCAAAAAGACGGCCATTGCAACACTGTAAAGCAGGGCTGGGCAACTTCGGTCCTGGAGGACCACTGTCCTGCAGAGTTTAGCTCCAACCTTAATCTAACACACCTGAACAAGCTAATCAATATCTTCAAGATCACTAGAAAATTACAGGCAGGAAAAAGGTAAATACTGGTGTAGTGATGGTACTCTGATATGCCATATACTATGGTACTAAAATATTACAAAAAACAGAACAAAACACTGTACTCACATATTATTCAAGGTGCTGTAAAGAACGCTACTACTCCATAAAACCACCATGAAAAGTCATATGGGTTTGTATGACATGAGGGTGAACATGGCAGTATTTTCATTTTTAGGTAAGCAATTCATTTAAGTCAGCGCTGGTGAATCCACCTGAATCATTAATGATTGTAATCATGACCCATGTCAGAGAAATGCTCCTCTTCAGTTCAGCTCCACTAAAGCCGTCAGTGAGCAGAGAAAGCAGGTATTGACTTCCTGTGAACTCAATTAAACCATTCATGTGCTGCACATGTTATTCAAATCACAGGACTGGATGTAGGCAACCTCATTATTCTTTTCAGTGTTCAAAAACAAAAGGTCGGGAATCACTGGTATAGTGCAGTAAAAAATGACACGGCACACCACTAAGTACTGAAATATAGCACAATTTAACAAACATGGAATAGCTTCAAATTGCATATTAAAACTGGATATCATATTAAAAGTAGTACACACATTTAATGTGAAAATTGAGCTTAAGTCAGGTAGGAACACAAGGTCATAGGTAGCTTTATGTTGTTGGTGATGATAAAACAACAAATTTACATATCGTCGCTGTCTGGCAGAAACAATGCATGTCCCAGTCTATGGTATGTCCAAAAGCACTACCACTTTCAGGAAATGTAAAAACATTTTTTTTTAAATAATTAAAAAGCGTCGTTATATGATCAGACACTTGGAAGGTGTGTTTTGTCCGTCATTAGAACGGCGTACCTGAGTTGGTGAGTGCATCACATTACATTTTCTTACAGGTTATAAAGTTTATTGTAGCTATATGGGCTGTTTTTTTTTTTTTGTTGTTGAATTGAAATGTTTCTTGAGTAAAGAAAACGCTGTACTTATTCGAACATCAGTTCTGTATTTACCCTTGCACTGAAAACTGTGCTCGGCGCTTCAATCTGAATGGAGATTGGACTTGGAGGTGGACTTACGAGGTTTCACTGACAGTTTGAGGATCCAATGGTGTTACGAGGTTTACTCGCAAACTCTTTTGAATGCATTTCATTGGTTAACTATTTGTAAAACCCACAAACGGACGTAAAGATTACCAATAATATTGATTTAAAATAATAATAATAACGAAATATAATAGAGATAGAACGTTTTGATAATTTTCCACGGCACCTAGTGTGCCGCAGCACAGTGGTTGGGAAACACTGGTAGAGAACATCATTTGGGACCCAATTTTTGAAAATTTTTGAAACAAACAAACAAACAAAAATACCAGAAATGAGAGCTCTAGCGCAAGTTCTACCGGAAAGACTCTAATGTTACGTCATTCATTACTCACAGATCTAGCCAATCATCACTTGACACCTGGAGTCAGGGCCGTCCTTAGCTGACGCGGGGCCCGGTGCGAGGTAGGGAGGGTGGCCCCCCTCGGTCCGTGTTCCGGGTGGGGGTGTTTTGGTCCCCCCTCGGTCCGTTCGCCGCAGGGCCCCCTCAAGCGCGGGGCCCGGTGCGAGGTAGGGAGGGTGGCCCCCCTCGGTCCGTGTTCCGGGTGGGGGTGTTTTGGTCCCCCCTCGGTCCGTTCGCCGCAGGGCCCCCTCAAGCGCGGGACCCGGTGCGACCGCACCAGTTGCAGCCCCTTAAGGATGGCCCTGCCTGGAGTATATAAGTTCTGTTCTCACATACTGACAACTACTCGGTCAGTGAAACTGTCTCTTAAAACTTTAGCCCAAGTTTTCATAAAATTACGACATATAATTGAAAACGAACCTTCTGTGAACGATTGTGTAAATTACGTCCTTTTCACGATGCACGCTATATTGTTAATATTATGCAAATAACTAGTCTCACAGTAAACGTTTGTGGTTGTTTGATCATCCCACTAAAAGCGTTAATAATTTTCTCAACTGAAAATGTGAAACACTAGCGGGGCTTTAAGTTCATGTCAGCTATTATTCCGAATGCTCACTGAGCTGTCGCGTCAACTCTACTCGCGTCTCAATCACCAATTTATATTTTTGTCTGTATATACACACATGTAAACTTTCATCGAAGACTCTACGGGCCTGCTATCAAAAAACATGGCTGCTAGTCTCCTTCAGCCTTCCGTCTTCACTACATCAGCCTACACCATGATAAGTTTTCATATTGTTTTATGCACTTGTGGCTGTTGGGTGTAGAATTTATTCTTTGCAAGGTTATTCTTTGCATTAGGTCACTAGTGATGGTGAAACGAAGCTTTGTGAAGCTGGTACAGTGCTGCACTGTGAGATGGTTTGTTTCTTTTTCAAACAAGCTTCGAAGCCTCTGTGCCGAACGTCACATCACTACTAGGCTATTCACTCACAGTGTTTAAGACAAAGCGAATGGTCATACTAAGTGAGCGCTCGTCGTGTGATTGTTCATGTATGAGGATAATCTAGCAGACTAGCGCTGCATGATCAACCCAAAATTGAGCCTAGGTTGCACTTCGGCTCAGTGCAATTTATAAATAATAAAGTTCTAATTATTTTGTTCAGCGTATTATTGGTGAAGTACAGTACTAAGATCAGAATGTATTGATTGGTTTGCATAATGCTGCACGATCTTTGCAAGCTCAGTTGTCACCTTTAACATGCGTTTAATAGAAGCACGACCCTAATATATTTTTCAGACTTTAATGAGAAGCGTTTACAACTCGTTTTCAACAAAGGAGAATATTTAATGACATAATTTTAGTCAGACTAATTCAATAACATCTGGTGTTTGAAACAACTTCTTTTTGTTATCTGATGTGGCTTCATATCATAACGCTTAATTATTATAACCCTTTATAATATTTTCCACTCATAAAGACTCAAATAAAAGTGTTCTTATCCTTCTGCATGGGTACCACAAGGTTATTTATCAATTTTCATTCTTTGCTCCAATACTTAGTATTTCTTAAACTTATGTGTTATGCGATCTGGTTTATTTTCTTTTGGTTCACTCATCGGGTTCCATCAGTTAGATGGAACTCTGTCTGCAGTTCTATCAAGCGGTTGCGGGAGTCAAACCCAAAAATATTTATTTAATTACCAGTATTTATGCTTTTTATGAGTCTTTCTGTTAGGACTTAAATACTACTGTAAATACTACCCATTTCACTAACCTAACGGCCATCTCGTCACAATGCAGTGTTTTAGAATCCCCTAGTCTCGCTTAGACAGACCTTCAGACTGATGCCAGAAGGTCTGGGAACCTTGGCCGCTTTGAATGGCAAGGACCGCCAAAGAGGCCATATGACGTACAGATAAAGCAACCAATCACATTTCGGTTTGTGCCGAATGATGTTCAGGGGCATGGAAATGTCCCCACAATAACAGACCGTGTGTAAAACTCTTGTACTGTCAGTATTTTAAAGATTCTATGCTGCAAACTTTAAATATTTCACATACTTTTAAAAATCCAGCGTTTAGTTAATCCTGATAAGCACTCATTTTCACAGTTGTAAACACGACGGCTATCTTGTAACATGAGGGGGTTTGGCTTCACAGCATATTCGTTTCCAGGTGGAATGTTAAAAAACGCGACATGCACGTCTCCTGGAAATCCAGTAGAATTCAACAAATCTGATGACGACTTCGAAACTCCCAAAGTGTTTCCAATTTTGTGTGCCATATGCATCAGACAGTCAACCAATGGTCCGTGGGCATGACGTCTGAGGCTGAGACTAAGAGTCCCCTGATCGTTGATGCAGAGAACCTTGGCTATCACCTTATCTTCACAGAGGTCATTCTTTTGGACGGGTGCCACTACGAACGCAGCAGAACTTGGGGTTCAGCATCCTCTGTCAAGCTGTTGTGTACATGGTCATCCTCCCCATTCGAATTCTAGTAACTATCTCAAACGCTCAGCAGGCACTTTTAAGTTATAATCAAGGCATGTTTATCTTTGCAGCTTCTGGTTTCCTCATATCTATTGGCATCAGTCTTACTTGGACTAACGTGGCCCTCTTTCATGGCCCACGTGGCCTTCCTTGTACTCCGGCCTAATGTGGCAGTCTTCACAGCCTAGGTGGCCTTTTTCATACCTCGGCCTAACGTGGCCCTCTTTCACGGTTTACGTGGTCTTCCTCGTACCCTGGCCTAATGTGGCAGTCTTTCACGGCCTATGTGGCCTTTCTCGCAACACTTTAGGCAAAACAACCTAATGATTCCCTCTGTTAAATGATTTTAACACCTGTCAATGACTGTATTATTTTATTAATATTAATCTTTTTTCTTTGCCTAAATATTCTAGGAACAACTTCTAAGAAACACTCCAACTGGTGGGTATCAATTTTCCTCTCCTTGGGGGTAGGCTTCGCCCTTGCCTTCATCTTCAGGCAGGATCAGCAAGTATCTGCAACACTCTGGATTTGGACTATGGACGGGGCGTACTCCAAAGAACTTTATCATATCATCTGTTTGCAACCAATTTGCACACTACATGTTAAATAAACCTTATTCAGACATTCTCTTGCCTCCCGAGTCTTTCAGGTAGAATTGGGAGCTCTAGCGCAAGTTCTACCGGAAATACTCTAATGTCATGTCATTCATCACTTGACACCTGGGGCCTGTACCATGAAGCCAGATTAGCTGGCTTGCCAGGTAAATTTCAGTTTAGTTTGCACCAATCCTGGGTTTTAGGTACCATGAAATTGGCTTGGCTTTTAGCGGCATTCATTGCCTTAGTAACTTACACTGCACAGCTAACCTGCTCCAGGGCAGACTATGTTCTGGGTAAGAAATTCAAACTGAAATTGAACCAATCAGATGTGAGCAAAGTGACTGACGCAAATGTATGACGCAAAAAAAAGTCACTCCCCCAGTTTCTCTTCCTACAAATTAAAGGTCACTATAAAGTAGCTTAAAAAATACAACAAAATTGTCTGGCTTTAATGATAATTACGATTTATGTATGATTTATATAATTATAATCTGATTTATATTACTATTAAGCCATTACACACAAGCAATTTTAGTTTAACAATTATTATAAAGCATTTATTTTAAATGAATATTAATATATACAGATCATATGTAATATACATAAGTGGTAGAATCAATAGATAACGCTTTAAAAATTTAAAAATCGCTATATATATATAATTGCACAAGTTTCACATGTGACTGCACTAATAGAACAAGATAATTTATTTTATTTGTCCACTTTCATGGACAAGTACTTCAGTGTAAATGCATTTATATTCCTCATATTCTTTGATCTCATAACCTTTAAAAAAAGAGTTTTGAATCTCGCTGGCTCTTTCGCAAATAAGTGAATCACACATATACTTTTTTTTGTATATGTACAATATCTGCTATAGACTACTATTGGACATTTTGTTGATGTCAAACACAATGTATAACTGACTGTGTTTCTATTAGGTCATCTACACAAGTGCGCAGCTATGAGAATTTAAGACATCAACATAGCCAAGCAGACTAGTTCAATTCTTACTTGTACCAGGTCTAGCGTCAGACACGTCTACTAGTGGTCCAGTGGCCTGAGATAGAGACTGGTAATGCACTGTATGGGTGACGGTTGAGGACTTCTGTTTAGATGTTTCTCCAAAGTCATTGTCCGTCAACAGCACCGTGGAGCGGTCATCTGAAAGACAGAGGCAACCAGGCTAATGTAAGTAGAAAAGACTACCATCAAGCAAATCAGGGCCTTTAGGGAAAGGCAAACCACTAACATTGCACAATGGTCTCTTACCGATTGTCTCCATAGTGTCTCTCTCCTCGATGAGTAGCTGAGCACGTGGGATATCGATGTGCATCCTCAGAGTCTGCTGCTGTTTGTTCACAGTGTCTGGTGTACGTGCATTTTTACTGGAGACACACATCCAAACAGAAAACAATTACATGCACTACTTTATGACAAAGTGCACTGATTTATAAGCCAATACCATAGTAATTTACCTCATTAGCATCTCTGCTAGGCTCTTTGCATCTTTTGAAATAAAAGAAATAAGGAAGTTATGAATTGCTAAATATTGTTTAATATTAAGAGTGTATTAAGAAATGTACCAGAACATCCTCAAGCAGCTATGATGTTCTGTTCGCTAGATATGGCATGTGTCTACACACCTCGTAATCTCTTGAGCCTTTGCTCTCTTCTTCTTCTCCTCAATACCAGAAGAACAATGAAGACCATGGAAATTGCCACCAGAATACAGATGATTGTGACCATCATCTTAAGTCCCTCATTGCCCTGCCTATTCTCCTGGCTGGGGTCCACAGTCTTTGGCAATGGAGCAATTGTGCCTGGAGAGAGAAGTTTGAGCAGCTGATGGACAATTTAGATTTTTCAAAGTCTGGTTATAACCAACTTTTGATCAATTCAACTTTTTGATCATCTTCCACTGTTTTATGCTGTTTATTGTTGATTTAGTGCTGGTCTGACTGGTAGATCAGCATCGCCATGCTGTTTTCCAGCAAAAAGTGCTGGTTAGACAATAAGGTCTGATCAAGGAGCTCTTGCTGGTTAAGTCATTTAAGCAAATGCTTCCAAACACTGAACTGAGACGACATTGATTTTGACCCTGTGTGGTAATATAAGACGTAGTACTCACTGCCATCCACATTTAGAGTGGCGAACAGAACCCTCTTCTCTGCTGTTCCTGCACTGTTGCCCACTCTCATCTGGAGCTCGTACCAGGTGGCCTCCTGTAGGTCGTAGAGAATGGGGTTTTTGGTGAGAGAATCTCGCTTCACCATGGTCCATTTCGTAGTGTCCACCGGTCGATATTCCAGTGTGAAGGAGTCGATCGGACAGCCGCCATTGTTCCAACCGATGAGGTTGAGCTCCACACGGGTAGAGTTGATACTTGAGAAAAGCTCATGATCTTTGGCGAATTGTGGCTCTGATAATGTGGAGAAGTGAGAGATAATGTAATCCTGAAGTTAGAGAAAATGGTCAAACTTCGATTGCAAATGGTGATTAAGAATAAAATATATGGGCTAAGTAGTTATTTAGCATGCAATTTTATTTAAAGTGACTTAGCAATCCAAGATCTATCCTATGAAACCAAAATAAGCTGTAGGACATTGGTGTGTCGGAAATTGGCCTGATACACTATTCTATACATTACTCCACTAATATAGCCCACTTTTAAGATTTAATAAAAATGAGTGAGCAAATTTGGACACTAATGGCGCTTTTCCACTGCATGATACGGCATGGTACGGCTCCGTACGGTTCACTTTTGGGGGGTTTTCCACTTGGTACAGTACCTGGTACTTTTTTTTAGTACCACTTCGGTTGGGGTTCCAAGTGAACCGTACCGTTACCAAAACGTGACGTGTAAACGCTGATCACGGATTGGCCGGAGAGAATCGTCACTACCTGCGTCACTGAATTTGCGACACAAAAGAACGGCTAGATTTAAATCAGCACAGCCAGCGAAGGATCGAACGCAACTGTTTTGAACGAGCGCACCTTTTTTTAAGAAGCAAAAAGTTTTGTCGTCTGTTGCGGAAGTACATATGTTCCTCTCGTTGATAGCAGAGGAGCGGATCCAGCGAGAGCTTGATGGGGCATCGCGGAATGAAACAGTTATTTTTAGGAGTTGCGGCAGTAGAGGCGGCGCAACTATAACGACATGTGAATAATCCCGCCCACTCTAAAGCGGTACTGAACTGCAGTGGAAATGCAAACCGTGCCGTGCCGTGCCGTACTGAGCCGTACCGAGCCGAGTCGTACCACACAGTGGAAAAGCACCATAAGTGTGCTGGAAGGTTTGCGCTTGCGCTTGCTGCTATAGTAGTCCGCTGACAACTAACGTATAAACTTAATTTAATAATCAAGTAAAAAGGAACTTACACCTGTATGGAAGTCATTCGGTGCAACACTCGAGTACATTGGTGGTACACTTGTTATTGCAGTGCATTATGGGACTGAATGAGTGGACCTGATAATGTCCACTATGGTTTCGGACACCACTACAAAATTGCTTTCCCCTCAAATAGTGCACTATATAAGGGTATAGGGGGATTTCGGACACAGCCCATGTCTTTTAGCTTTAACAACATATGTATGCTAGTCTACTCATAGGAATAAACTAAAAGCAGATACAGTATACACATTCAGGGAAAACAGACCAAAGGTAATATAATCCAGATGTAAATGTAATCCAGAATGAGAATGACCCTGCACACTATACTTAGCAAGTAGTAAATCATGGTTATGATTTCATGCTAATATCAAAGTATCACACTAACATGTTATTTCTATTTCATGTCATCTGACATGAAAGCAGACTACTGTTTACAAACATTTAATATGGAATAATGCCCATTTCATTTCACTATTTCACACAGTTTTTTTAATTATGTTCTCAGTGTTCTCAGATTTTGTTATTGGCCATTAATGAGAAAGGGACAAACATTTAGGATGGTCTCCCAATGTGTTTCAATATTACATATGTGAACACAGTAATGAAAACTGGTGGTTTTATTTCAAGACGGTTTTTATGCACCTTGCTCAAGGGCATAATAGCTCATAGCCTTCTTTGAATCAGCATTAGGTTACAATTCAGTTAGGCTACCATTCAGTTGTCAGTCATGTATTTTAGCCACTAGTGATCAGCATAATTAACTATAAATTATATATATATATATATATATATATATATACAGTATATATATAAAAATAAAACATTTTACCTTTCCCATGGGTTTTAGCCTCAATGATTTCACTGATGCGTCCAGGACCAACTGCATTTTGTGCAGTAAGAGTAAATTTGTACCAAGTACCGCACTTTAGCTTCTCTAGACGGTAAGACCGCTCACTGGGGCTGATGGAGAAACTGCCCCACTCTTCACTGTTATCCTCAGAGTACTGCAGAATGTAGCCTGAACAGAGAACACCACACCAATTTAAAATAAACCCCAAATGCCACACTTTGTTTATTCACTTTCATGGGCGCTGTAAATTGATAGAGCACCTACTACGCAAAGCTGACCTTCAAGTTTATTAAAAAATTACAGCGTGCAAAATAAACCATTTGACAGGTCTAGGTGGATAGTGTTCCATATTTGTTAAACAGTGGAGAATAAGTGGATGAATATATGGAAAATAGATATCAGTGCAGTCTAACCTCTGATGGAGCTTCCTCCATTGTCTCCAGGGATCCAGGACAGTGTGATGGAGGTGGTTGTGGTTTTGGTCACTGTGAGACGTGGTTGGTCCGGAGGTACTGAAACATTTTGAGAGTAAAGGTACAGTCACATTTACCATTGTTTGAAGAATTTTCATGAATGACATCCAGCCATATCATAGGAAAGATTTCCACATGCAGATTTTGCGTTAGGTTCAATTTGGTCATGCAGATTCAATGTGTTGCCCAACAGAAAGCTGCTTGGTTTATATGAGCTGTGCTTCATATTGTACAGTACATCACTACACTAATGACCTGTTTTGCTCATGCAATTTCAATAACGTGACCTGTGTGTTTATTGGTTATATCAAACTTCTTTTTCCTTTCTTTTTCACAGATTTGTTTTCATAAATTTCAGAAAAAAATTCAAGGCACAAACTGTGTCCTGCCAATGATTCAAAACAAAAAATGCTATTTGAATTTACAGAGAATATAATTTGATTGTCCAATGCCATACACACCTTGGACCTGAAGGTTTAGCATGATCTCATCTGAACCCCAGTTGTTGCTGGCAACACATCTGTAGTACCCAGAATCCTCTGCTTTGACAGTGCGAATAACAAAGCTGCCATTGCTGTGAGCGCTGCGACGTCCATCGATTGAAACCGGAGCAGGAGTACCATTACTGTAGGAAAACATCAGTTTCATAGCAAGTATGAGTCACAAGAACGAATTCATCAGGCATTTTCAGTTTCATGCACAGCACTTTCGGTTCTTTATAAACAAATTTTGACAAGCTTTACAAAATGACTACATTAAAATCTAAAGAATATAGTAATCAAACATACTTTCCCTTGAGCCACTTGATGGTTGGAGGAGGGTCTCCGACTGCTTTGCATGGAAGGACAATGTCCCTCATCCAGGGGGTGGTCACAGTACCACTGAACGTCAGGATTCGCGCAGGGGCTTAATAAACAAACAATGGCATGACATTGGTGAACAAACCTCTCATACAAACTCTTCTATGTCATATTGGTTCTGTTAATGGTACCATATGGCTGCATCCCAATTCACATACTTCTACTACACACTAAGAGTTACAGAGAGGGTGACTGATTGCCAGGTGCCATTCTTCCATACCTTTAGCTTGGGGCTCTACGGTGATAATTTCACTGGCATTCCCACGGCCAGCTGCAGTGACCGCCACAACCCAGATGCTGTACTGCCAGTTCTGATTCAAGTTGGTCAAACGACGAAAATAAACATCAGGTGCAGCCTCAAACTCACTGATCACCTGTAATGATACCCAATGAAAAGGTTTCATAAGAATAACATAAAATGATATTCGTTGGAAACCCTCTTCCATTGTTTTTACATTTAAGGCAGAGGTGTCCAATCCTGCTCCTGGAGGGCAACTTTCCTGCAGACTTTAGCTCCAACACACCTACCATGACGTTTTTCTAGTGACCCTGAAGACCTTGATTACCTGGTTCAGATGTGTTTAAATACGAAAAGAGGGAAACTCTGCTAGAAGGATTGGACACCCCTTATATAGGGCATTAACTTATCCAGAATGACTTACAAAAGTGCCGCAAAATGGAATACTGTACTGCTAACGGCATAACACTGAGCTGGGCAATTCTACACTCTAGATTCAAATAAATTAAAAAGGGACAAACCCAGCTATTGGGTTGTTTTGACCCAGCGGTTGGGTTCAAAACAACCCAATAGCTGGGTTTATCCCTTTTTAACCCAGTGCTGGGTTATATTTAACCCAGCATTTTTTTAGAGTGTTGCGTATCCTTGAGATACACTTTCCTGTAGAGTTTGGCTCTAACCCTAAGCAAAAACCTGGGACAAGCTAATCAAGATTTTCAGAATTATTGGAAAACTACAGACAGCTAGTTGTGTTTAATCAGGGTTGGAGCTAAACTCTGTAGGACCTTGAGGACCAGAGTTGCTCAGCCTTAGCATACTGTGATTTATACTCTACATTGCCTACTATTAAAAAATAAATAAATAAGAGGAAGAAGAAGAAGAACTAAGCATTAAGCAATAATACACATTGAAACTGCACTGGCAAATGCAGTAGGTCATTCAAGTATCCCAAACCCATAGACTGTTTTTAGAGTTATGAGTTACATAGTGAAATGTTCTTCTACTTTGTTTCTCAACCTTGTTCCTGGAGGCACACCAAACACTACACATTTCGAACTCCTCCTAAGTACACACCTGAATCGACTCGTCAGCTCATTAGTAGAGACTCCGAGACCAGAAATGGATAGGTCAGATAAGGGAAACATCCAACATGTGTACCTCCAGGAACAGGGTCAGGGAAGCACTGTCATAATTCCTTATAATTCTATTAAAATTGTGTTTGGTAAATTTGAATAATTAAGTTTGGGGCTGCCTTATGGAGCTGTGCAGAGTCACAGAGAGCCACAGATAAAGCTCACCGTGGGGTAAGGGTTGGAACAGAAGACGGTGTATTTCCGGATGATTCCGTTGAGTTTGAGTGGAGGAAGCCAGGAAACAAATACCACTGAGCTTGTGGAAGCAGCTGCCTTGACTCCAGCCGGAGGGCCAGGAACTGGTTTTAGCAGGAGAAATGACATAATTTGTTGAGGAGAAGCTCTAGAAAAGACACCTTGTATGCTACAAAGGAAGTAACCTAGCTGTTCTATTCTAACATAATGGAAAGTTGAGATGTGTGACTTTACACAATTTCCCAAAGACACCAATCACCTCTTCGTTTGGATTGGTTTTGTCACTGGGTTCAGATGTCTGTGCAATAAGCAAAGTCAACCTACAAATGACTTTCTTTTGGGGCGGAATATCCCACTAGACAACTCGAAACAGGTTGATTTTGGTCACTCCTGCTGATGGTTTTTACTGAAATCTCTTCTGTATAAGTTTTATAAGAGCAAGACCACAGTGGAGAATTGTAATGAAATTGTAATGAAATTGTGAAAACGACTTTAGTGTGAGAATGTGTATTTGTTTTATCAGGGTATGCTGTAGAAGGCATTTATCCATTTGCATTTTAAGTAAAAAAATTGTGTCATTTAGTAAAACTGCAGAAAACCCTGTGGTGGGTACAGAATCACCATGGATAACATGGTCAGCAGGGAATTGGGGCTGGTGAATGAAGCGTGGAGACAGGGGAGTCACCTAGCCATTATGTATGTGCAATCGGAATGAGTCTCACCATCCTCTTTGGTGCGTGTGTAGATCTGCTCACTACGGACTCCGTCTCCGGCTCGAGTGAAGGCCAGGACCTGGATACTGTAGTTGGTGTACTTCTCCAGCCGTTCCAACTCAGAAATGGGAACACCTTCATCCAAAAATAAATAAATAAATAAAAAATGCTTTGTAAGTATGCTGAGTGAGTGACAGTAAATCTAAATGTAGACAATTTGTCCAATAATTATTGTGTTTCTACTATAGGCTTACTGCCCACTGTTTCTTCACTTTCTGTCTCCTACAACAAGGCCACCATGCCCTCTGGTGGTCTGAGGCAGAAATGTAATTGAATTTATATTGTATGTCCCAAATGTATCACTTTATGATAATGTACAGTGCCTGACAGGTCTGTTTTTTAATGTACATTAGAAGAGAGATATATATATATATATATATATATATATATATATATATATATATATATATATATATAT